GGGCTAAGGACTGGGCTAAGGACTGGGCTATAGACCCGGGCTCAGGGCTGGGCTTTGGGGCCGGGCTATAGAGCYGGGCTAAGGGCTGAGCTATAGGCTGAGCTATAGASCCRGGCCAAGGGCCGGGCTATGGGACTGGGCTATAGGCTGAACTGTAAAGTGAGACTATGGGCTGGACTAAGGGCTGGGCTATAGGCTGAACTATAGACCCAGGCTAAGGGCTGAGCTATGGGGCTGGGCTATAGACCCGGGCTAAGGGCTGGGCTAAGGGCTGGGTCTATAGGCTGAGCTATAGACCCAGGCTCAAGGCTGGGCTAAGGGCTGGGTCTATAGGCTGAGCTATAGACCCGGGCTCAGGGCTGGGCTAAGGACTGGGCTATAGGCTAAACTGTAAAGCAAGACGCTGGGCTGTGGGACTGGACTATAAGCTGAACTGTAAAGCGAGACTATGGGCTGGACTAAGGGCTGGACTGTGAGACTGGACTATAAGCTGAACTATAGAGCCAGGCTATGGGACTGGGCTATAGGCTGAACTGTAAAGCGAGGCTATGGCCTGGGCTGTGGGACTGGGCTATAGGCTGAGCTATAGAGCCCAGGCTATGGGGCTGGGCTATGGGATTGGGCTACACGGCTGGGATATCGGGCTGAGCTATAGGGCTGGAGTATGGGAATGGGCTATAGGACCTGGCTATGGGACTGGGCTATAGGGCTGAGCCATAGAGCCAGGCTATACGGCCTGGGCTCTGGAGCTGAGCTGGGCTCTGGGGCCCAGTCTCAGTTCAGGGCCCAGGCTGTGGGTCAGGGCTAACCTGGGCCCAGGGTATGTGCCAGGCTGCAGGGCCCGTGCCYAGGTGTGGGTCAGTGTGTGGGGGAGCTGTGAGGCCAGGCTCAGCTGTAGGGCTGGCATATGGACYGGGCTCTGGACCAGGCCGGGCTGTGGGGCCAGACAGTGGGGCTGGGCTGTAGGGTCCATGCAGGGCAGTGGGGCCGGGCTGTGGGTCACGCTGTGGGTCACGCTGTGGGTCACGCTGCGGGTCCAGGCTCCGGTGCAGGCCGTGGGGCCGGGCTGTGGGTCACGCTGTGGGTCACGCTGCGGGTCCAGGCTCCGGTGCAGGCCGTGGGGCCGGGCTGTGGGTCACGCTGTGGGTCACGCTGCGGGTCCAGGCTCTGGTGCAGGCCGTGGGGCCGGGCTGTGGGTCACGCTGTGGGTCACGCTGCGGGTCCAGGCTCCGGTGCAGGCCGTGGGGCACCGCAGCGCTCCCGGCGCAGCGTCTCTCCCGGGCCGTGCGCTCGCTAGAGGGCCCTCGGTGCCCGCGCAGCCGCCGTGCCCGTGTCCTGCCCCATCCCATCCCTTCCCATCCCGTCCCATCCCTCTGCATCCCGCCACCTGCTCCCAGCCTCACCAGGGCTGCCGATTCCCCAGTGTGCRGCCCAGCAGCCCAGTGCCGGTGCCCACTTCCTGACGGGAATTCCTCCTTCCTTCCTCGCGGGGCTGCAAATCCCCCTCGCCCCGGCGGCGCCGGCCCGGGGGCCATCGCATGATCTGCAGGTTCCTGGAAATCCAGACGAGCTCCGTGAGCATCCGGATGCRCTCCTGTGTTTGGAGCTTGTTGCTCTAGGGCCCTGTCCCCCTAACCGGTTGTTCTCATTCCGTCCGCATCTCTGGCCATGTTATTCGTGTCACTGAAATTCCTGTTAAAGTTGCATTAAAGGTAGCCAGGGAATCATTCTGACCTGGCTGTTACCCGGCTGGTTTCCTCTCCGTGCCCAGCACAGGACCGGGACCTGTCCCGGGTCCCCATGAGCCCCGGTGGCGGGAACCACCCTTTGCACGGAGCCTCCAGATGCCAGGGAAAGCCACGATCCGCTGCTTTCCAGCTCCTTTGGGATGCTCTGATTCATCCTGACCTCRTTATGTGCTGGTTAATTAACGCGCAGGCCGCTCTTTCCGTTCCCCCGGAGAGGCGAGGGGAGCAGCAGGGCTGCATTCCCGACGCTCCCGCAGCGCTGCCCTGCCCGGGAGTCACCTCCCGGCCCGCGGGATCATCGGCACACGGAGCCAACGGGGAATTCCGCTCGTGGGCAAACGGGCTGCCAAGCTGCCACGGATGGCGGCAGCGCCTGGATCCCATCGCTCCGGRCCTTCCCGGCGGCTTCTTTGGGATGTGGGAGCAGCGGGGGGACCCCAGGGAGCTGGGTGGCCTTGGTGGGCGCCAAGGCGACGCTCACATAGACACAGAGCTGGCGGTGCCCGAGAGCCGCGGGGCTGGGACGGGAGTCAAGGGTGCCAGGGTCCCGTCCCGGGTGGCCTGGGCGCTGCAGCCCCCGGGATGCGCGCTCAAAGGGGTGCCGAGCAGGGTGCACGGGAAGGGCAGGGAATGCTGGAGCCGGAGCGTGTCCCGTGCCGGGGCTGAGTCGCTGCAGGACGGGCTTCTGATGCTGGTGATGGGGCTGCCAGGTTTGCAGCACCAACGGCACCCGCGGCTCTCCCAACGGCATCCCTGGCTCTCCCAATGGCATCCCCATCTCCCAACGGGATCCCTGGCTCCTATCACCATTCCCGGCTCTCCTAACGCCATCCCTGGCTCTCCCAACAGCATCCTCGTTTCCAAACAGCCTTCCCAGCTCGTAACAGCRTCCTTGTCTCCTAATGGCATCCTTGTCTCCTAACGGCATTCCCGGCTCCTAAGGGCATTCCTGGCTCCTAATGGCATTCCCTGTTTCCAGGCCCGGCCTTCCCCTGGTGGAGGGCAGAGCAGGTGCCCCCTGCCCCGCTCCTGTGGCCTCCTYGAGGTCCTGCCCGGCGCTGGGAACCAGGAGCCCTCCCGCATGAAGCCCCTCCTGGACCCAGTCCCGCGGGGCGGCAGCTCCGTCGGCGCGTGAAGACTTTGGAATTGCGAATTCCAGGGAATGGCAGTCCTGCAGGGAGCAGGTGGCACGGGGATGTGCACCCAGCACAGGCGGTTATGGAGCTTGGTCCGTCATTCTGTCCCCCCATGCAGCGCCCTGGCTGTGCCGAGCGCTCCGGCCGCCGCGTGTCCCCATGTCCTGCCGTCCATCCCGGCCCGTCCGTGTGGGAGCCACGTCGGGGTACGGGAAGGCACGTGGCGGAGCCAGCGCAGGCAACCCGGGAGTTGAATAACTCCCTGGCTGCTTCGTTTTGTCAGGGGAAGATCTTCTAATTGGAGCTGAAGGCTGCGATCCTTCCTCTGCCGCCCTTGGACGGGCTCGAGGATTCCTTCGGGCGGGCAGGGCTTTTGCAAGAGACCTAATGTTTGGGTTGCGACTCAGTTATCTTCCCTTTCCCTGCCCAGGGTGGCTTCCAGCTCCGTGCGCAGCCGGAGCGTGCACAGCGCTCCGGAGCGTGCACAGCGCTCCGGGCGCCTCGCCCTGCTGCGTCACCCGCTGCGGGTGCCGC